ACTGAGGGTTGCGATCCGTTGCCGGTCACAAAAAAAGACAAAAAGACAAAAAAAAAAAAAATGTTGAGATGTTATAGCCATAGCAGTTCCATTTTAGAAAAGAGGATGTGAGAAAGGGAAAGAGGGGCAGTGTGAACTAGGTAGGGGATGCTGTCAGATACAGAGGCAGTCTTTGCTGTTAGATCTCTGATGGTGCAGTCAATTCAGTTTTCCGCTCTGGGAAAAAAGAGTAAAATACACCAGAGAGACATCTTCCTGAATCATGTCTTTTACCCAGCCAATCCTATGCTCAGAAATATCTAGTGAATCTCTCATTGCCAGTGGATCAAAATCTTATTATACCAGCATCCCCAAACCCCACAGCCTGGAATAATATATCCTGTCAATTTCACTTTGAGTCACCCTCCCGAAGATGGAGGCCCACCTTTTCCCTTTTCTCTGATCATACTCCTGCCCTTTCTTTCCCAATCTCAAGTCTTCATTTGTGCTGACTTCTCTCTGTTCCAGCCTACTGAACTCTCCTTTTCTGTGTCCTCCCATAGTATTTCTGTCTTTACTTCTGACTTGGCATTTATTTTTAAAGATTTCAGTAATAATAAAACTATAATAATAATGTCTTAATCAGCTCAGACTGCTATAACAAAATACCATAAACTGGGTGGCCTAAACAATAGACATTTATTTCTCACAGTGCCGGAGGCTGAAAAGTCCAAGATCAAAGTGCCAACTGATTCAGTTCCTTGTAAGAGTTCATTTCCTGGCTTAGGGATGGCTGCTTTCTTGCTATGTCCTCACAGCCAGCAAGTGAGAGAGCTCTGGCCTCTCTTCCTCTTTGTATAAGGACAGTAATTCCATCATAGCGGCCCCACTGTCATGACTTCATCTAAAACTAATTCCCAAAGGTCCCCACTTCCAAATACTATCACATTGGGGGTAGGGCTTCAACAGTGAATTTGGGGGCAAACATTCAGTTCGTAAGAAATAACTACCATTTATAGCATTTATGATGTTCA